GAATTAAAGATCTGATGAGGCAGAAGCTTTGTTAGTTTGAGTCTGTTCATGCAGCGGCAATGTGACTCTGGGTTGTATGGAGTGATTAGGAATATGGCTCTGGGTATAAGTTGAACACGGGCATTTTTGCTCTCAAGGACGTGCCAGTTTGTATGTGAGCTTGAGTTCTGATGTGAGGATAGCAGGGACAAAGGCAATATTCAGGCTGAAAGCTGTGAAGACTCACTAAGTGTACAAAATGGGGATGTACAACTCCACAGCCTGTACTGAGTTCAAGGGCTGCTCCAGAGGTGGGCCGTGGCAGTGTGCAGGAGTCCAGAACTACGTAGCTGAGCCCACACCATTGTGGTTTTCGGCTGGGATGTGCTGTCCTCTATGAGCTAGACTCTGTAGTACCTCCCCATGAGTAGTAAGCAGCAGAGAAATACCCTAGATAGTACCAAAGGAGAAGGGCAGATGGAAAATGTATGTGGAGACAGCAGGGGAAGGGGTAGCATTGTAATGCTGAGAGACCTGCCAGGCTCAGCTTGGACAGGTTGACACTAAGATTATAGTGAAAGAGAGAGAAATGCATGCTGAGCCTGGTTTATTGGAGAGTGCAGTTTGATGTGAAGGTGTCTTTGAAGATGACTGAAGATGCCTTTAAGCAAGGGTAGAGTCCAAGAAAGTAGTGTTGGGTAGTGTTTGAGCATTGCTCCCTGTTTGGTCTTCTCCCAGTATCTGAGAGTGCAAGTTGTTCTGGCTGTTGAGCACCTCCTTGCCTTTCCTCTATGTCTGAGCATGGGTGCACCTTGCCTCTCCCATCAGCCCCAGTTTCCGTGGGAGGGAGTCTTTCTCTTCCCCACACTATGCACAGAAGTTCCCTCTTCTTTCTGTAGCCCTTGGGGATGCCCCTCCCGTTGTGCCCTCCTCCCTACCCTCTGATTCTAGTTGCAAACAAATACATCTCTGCTTCCTCCAAATGTGAACACATGGGTGTTTTCTGCCTGCCTCTTCAGTGTGGCTGGGGAAGCTGCACGGTTTTCTGAGGTGGGAGAGCACATAGAGGCACCCCCTTGCATCCCACGTCTTGTGTGTATATGTTCCTCTTCTCCTTTCCTTATATCAGTGTGTGGGGCACCTGTGTTCTGACCTCAATGTTTGAGTGGATGGGGGTCTTCAACCCTTCCCTTTCCTCTGGTGTGTAGTCATGTTCTTTAATGGTGACTTCTCTCTGCACCTTCTCGCGTCTGTGCATTTCTGCTGCTGCTTATACTTGGCCCTAGGGGAGCATTATTGGCAGGCACACTAATGTGTGAATAGTTTCTGTGCTTTTCTTCTCATCTCCTCTCTTCCTTTCTCGTTCCCTCTCTCAATGGTGTGTCCAGAAAAGGAAGTCGAGCTCCAGTGTGCATTTGATGGTGAGCACCTCCCGTAAGCTGCCTGCGATTCGTGCGTCCGCCATTCTCATGCCATGCACGCTCGGCTTGTGCTCATCACCCTACATAGCATGTCTGTGCAGGGGGGCGGTGGCGGGGGGGTCATTGTGCACTGAAAGGTCCATGTCCTCACTGAAAGGGCCCTGTGATCGTCTGGCCTCCAGCCAGTCATACAGTTCCCATTTTGCTGGCAATGCAGTTCGACCTTGCCTGCTCTAAGCGTGAAACGCAAAAAGGCAGCAGTTTTCCTGGGCTCAGCAGAGCAGGTGTGTGCCTTGCCTGGACATGGGGCTTTGTCATTCTGTTGCAGAGGTGCCAAAAAGAGGAGCAGGTGCTTTGCCTGGTGTTGGTCCAGTCATCCTTGGTGGGAGGCCTGCAATGTAGAACAAACTGGGAGCCGCTCCAAATGTGGCAGAAACTGAGGGGGTTCCACTGTTCAGATGAAATGTGTGGGCACAGCACCGCCAGGCAGCTTAGAGCTGCCGGTCACTTCTTTTTTTAGCATACTTACTGAAAAGGTTTGTCAGAGCCTTTATAATCCAAAACTTCCTTTTGTCTTGATCTCATTTATGTATCCCAGCATGACCAAATACCCAGTAACTGCCTCCCGTGTCCTATTCATTTATTTTTTTCATCCATCCAGATGTTTGACATCCATAGAGTTTATCAGAAAAGTAGTCAAATCCACTCTCAAGAGAGCAAAGAGAAAATTGGCCAGTGCCATATTGTAAGGAGTCATACACAGCCCATTAGATGATGCCTTGTCTCTGACACCGAGATATGAACAGTAACTGAAGTATAAAAGTTAGTTATTGCAGTTTCTCCTTTACACAGGAAAAGAACAGAAAATATTTCTCCCCTATTAAGAAACCAGAGTAATTTGTTTCTACATTAGGATCTGGAAGATATTTCTCTGCTTCCTCCTTCAATGACAGCTTAAAACTATGTAAACACAAAAAAGTAATCCTGAAGTACTGCTTGGAAAATCTGATGTGAGGGGCTGACTTTTCACCAGCCCTGCTTTTATGAAACTCCAGGACAGGAGTTCATTGTGCCTTTCTTGCCCTTGTTTTCTGCCCACTTGAATTCCCTCTGCATGTTGTTTTAAAGCAGCTGGGATATGTAAACCGTGTGTCAGCCTTGGGAAACATGGAAGCAGTGAAGGTGACTAAATAACCAGAGACGGCCCATGTGGTGGTACTTATTTTCCTTTAGTTGGCTAGAAATGTGTGTCCCTAGCGATATGATCACTGGTCTGTTTTCTTTCTCTTGCACCCTCTGTGTTGTTCCTGCCTGTCTGTCTGTCTCTTGTCTAGTTCAGGAAGCGCTGCCAACTGCTGTGCCAAAACTAATCGTGTTACATAGATCTGAAGAAGGGCCTGGCACCTTTTTAGGTGAACTGGCCTCTTTTAACTTGAGCTATATGGCTGTGAATTACCAAGGATCCTAGTCTGCCCAGTGACTGTGATGTTGGCTGGCAGTAGGAGGGGAAGGAGGGGTGAGAGTTGGCTGTGGTACCTGAGGCTCTGGGAAGGGCAGGCCAGTCTTCCAGGAAGGGCAGTTGGTTAAGCGCCCACCAGACACGAGTGTGTGCAAGAAGCTCAGTATGTCAGATACCTCCATCTGAGAAAGAGCTGTGAAAAATGCTTAGGCTAAGTCTTTTGACTCTTATTTCCTTGGGACTCTGTCCAGGAGTAAAATGCTATGTGGTTCTGGACTAGCAAACGTGATACTAGGTCTTCTTCAGCCCTCTGGCTGGGGAAGGGTATGATGGATGGATGACCTGGGTGTTCTGTGCAGCCTGGAGGGTAGGCTGTGTGCTTTGGGTGTGTGTGGGTTTGCACTTTCTAAGGTGACATCCCACACCTAACAAGCTGCTGTCAACCTTTTTTCAGAACAGTGGCTTCCTGGATGTTTGGGGTTTTTTTCCCATTTGACCTCAGTTATAAAGCCTTCCAAAAAATTGGAAATATTTTTGTATAGCTTCTTTCATGCTGACTTTATCTTCTTATCCCAGTGGACTAAGAAAAGATGGGCTGTACCCTTCTCACTGGAAGAGGTTTGGAAGATAAATCTCTGCATTAGGATCACTGCTTCTGAAGAAGTACAGGAACCTCGGTGCTGTGTGGAGGGGTGGACCCAGGCCAGAGGTTTCATTGTGTTTATGCTATAAAACAGCTTGGGATTCATTTTTTCAGGTTGATCTGCTCCTCTCTCAACATCCACAGCAGTCTGTCATCTCTACCATCAGGCTGGAAATACATGCAGGAAGCAAAGCTTTTGGAAGGCCAAAGTCTTAGGACAGTATAGGGATGTAGTCAGTAAACAGTAATTTTTGAAGTGTTTTTCCTTTCTTAGCTTTGGGGACGCGTGTGTCATATGCTCTTTTTTTTCCCCATGGACTTTTAAAGAACTCATTCCTACCTCTCTCTTCTACTTCCTCCCTTTTACACCTGCCCCATCTTGTTCTTCTGTTTCTCTTCTCTCCTCTCCAAAAGGGTTAGCTAAGCCAAGGCGTGCTGCTTGTGAAGAGAAACTGAAGCATTAGTAGGTGTGCGTGAAGTCTCAACTTCATAGGATCTGTCTGTGGTTGACATAACTAAACCTTTGGCAGATGTTTTCAAGCTCAGCATTTGACTTCTGCATTCTTTGTGGTGGTTACTGGGTGATGAGGGCCTGATGTTTTGCAGTCCCCAAGAACGGTGGGATGGGGAATGGCTGCAATGAGGTCATGCTGCTGTGAGCTCCTATCCAGTACCCCTGATCTGTAAACCAGGGAGTTTGCGTGAGGCTTCTGCAGTGCTGATTTTAACATTGTGGCTGGTGTCTGGTGGCAAGAGAGCTGTATACCTGGTGTGGGAGTTACATGGCAGTGTAACTGTGGGCCTAACTCTCCAACGACTGACTGGATTTGTGGGCTAGGAACTGTATACTAGTGGACACAGGTTTGTCTTCCACAAATGTAGACTTTGCTCGTTCCTGACATAACTGATGTATGTGACTCAGTGGGATGCTTCTTTGCAGCAAGCTGGTGACTCCCTCACTGTTGTGCTGTGTGAATGCAGGAAATGGAGATTTTATTCTTCTACCACAGCTATAAGAGAGACTGAAGAGGGGAAAGATGAAAAACTACTGGGCACCATCCAGAGGACTTGCTACTTGGGGAACTACGTGACCTTTTCCTTAGGTCTCACCCCCATCCCTTTCCATATTTTGGTCCTGAAGTCTCTCTGTTCAGGTCACAGCAGGGACACAACACACCATACCTCACCTCTTATCTACCATTTCTAGGGCTGACCATACTTTTTCTTTCATCAGTAGATTCCCTGGGACCCTCAGCATCATCACGTATCTAGGACTGTTCCTGCATACTCTAGGACTCCTCAGACACAGCTCCCATTTGACCTCCAGTTTGAGACTGCACCCTGACTATTGTGTGTCTCTCGCTTCTGTAGTCTTTCTCTTGGGACTGCTGCCATCTCTTATTCTTCTTCACCAAATACTTTTGTTGGTGCTCATTGCAGGATTCTCCTCATCCCTTTGGGCTGCTGCCTTTTTCCCTTCTGTTTTCCTTCCTTATAGCTCTAGCAGTCCATGCACTTTTGGGTTGTGGTACATCCCTTACAACTTCTGTTGCCTCTGAGGGAAGGATGATGTCCAGCGACCCGGACAGCACTCCTTCTTCCTCCCTCTTCTTGGTGATTGAAAGTGGGGGGAGGGGAGGGTCTGAGGAGATGGTTGGGGTTGAAGCAATACTGTCATTTTCTTGCTGTCTCTGCTGCCCAGCAGGGGAACTAAAACCATGTTTTTCTGTCTCAGCCACAGAGCAACAACAAAACCAGTATAGTAAGCACTGCAAAAGAAACACCCCCAGTGCAGACGTCCATGGTATCTTCCCCAACCACTATTTTTTTTTTCCTGTTTGGTTTAATTTTGATTCTGTCCTCTCCCTTTCTCTCCTTCCCCCCCATCCCGAGTGCTGCTTGTGCTGCTCTGTTTCAGCTTGTGTTTTGGCTTCGTTCTGTCTGTGTCCCTGTGCTGCTGTGGGGCCTGATCACAGCCTCACAGGCTTTGGGGTGGGGGTGCTGAGCAGAGCTGTGGTTGGATGTGGGGATCGCAGCTTGCCTGGACTTCCCCGTGTGCCATCCCTGTATTAGTTCTGTGTGTCCTGTTCAACTGTTCCTGCTGGCTTTGGGGAAGCTGGTTTGGAAGAAGAGAGTGGCAAGCTCCATCCACTCTCCAACACCCAGGAAATGGAGGATGGACTTCAGGACACCACAGAAGAAAGGGCAGGCAAAGGGTTTTTAGAGGAATCCTTTGATGGCCCATTTGGCCTGCTCAGTTGCGTGGTTGATCCTCTACAGCTCGCTGACTAGCTGGGCTAGCATTTTCTGTTTGGGCTGTGTGCAGCGGGCTTCATAGGGTGCCCTGTGCCTAGTACATTTACTGGCACAGCTCGGTGTGGTCTGCCTCGGTATGCTCGGAAGATCAGGCAGCAGTGCAATGGGTGACAGAGACGGATGGGTGAGTGTACGTCACTGCACCGTCACAGCCACCCTGCAAGAGTGACAGCAGTAGGAGGAGATGGTGCAGGATCCTGAAGTCTTGTCCTGGTAGTGAAAGGATGAGTGCAGGAGCTAGTTAGCGCCTGTAGGCCTGGTAGCTGCTCTTTGTCGTGTGTCTCTGAAGAGTTGGATTTGGCATTTTTTGGGGGGTGGGAGGGTGGAATTGATGTTTTTGTTGTTTTTTGTAGGGCAAAAGGTTCTTGGGACACTTCATAATTTTCTGCTTTACCTTCACTGGCTTTGTTCATTATGGCTCTGATACTGAGGGAGCCCTTCTAAATTATTAAGCGTTGTTGTTATTATTGAAATTGGATCTCATTTCAGAAACTTCTAGAAAAATGTGCCTTTTTTGACAGCCCAGTTCCCTCAGCAGCTCCTCTCTGTGAGGCATTGAGGTGGTGTGGCTTATCCCCTTTTTATTATGGAAATTATGAATGTCCCTTTTTTAGGGAAAAATACCTGGCAAACTTTCCAAAAACACTGGGAGACAAAGGCCCCGGCACAGTACTATCCTTTCCTCCCCCTCTCCCTCTTCTGAAGCGTTTTCCAGTGAGGATGCTGAGGGGTCATTACTTCATAAGCAGCTGCAGAGGGTGCTGCTCGGTTGCTGTCTGGCATTTGTGCCAGCCTGCTTCACTGGAGGCAAATTGGGAATTAGGGGCAATTGCAGGGAAGCTGGGGGCTTTGTCTCCTTGTGACTGTAGCTTTTAGTGCAGCCTCTCTCTCTTCAGGGAACCTTCTGTGCAGGAAGTGTGTGCGCGTGCACGCAAGCACACGTGTGCTGTTTGGAGTTTGTGGTTTGGTGGTGGTTTTTTTTTATGTCACCTTTTCTCCACTTGCTGGGGAGTGAAAAAAAAATGAGAGAATGCTTTGGAACTGGAGTTTAATGATTCTTCCATCCTTTCCTAGGAGCCACAAACAACTGTTGTCCATAATGCTACAGATGGCATAAAGGTAAGGGATGGGAGTGTTGCCAGAGAAACCTCCTCTTCTCTTGTTCTTGTCTTCGTGTGTCTTACTTCGGTTTCGACCTTCCTGACGTCCGGTTCGTAGCATGTTCCAGAATACTGCTGGCAGTAGACTGGGAGGGTTGTGTTGTATGGCTGTGGATCTCTGGAAGAGGCTGAGTAGGGACAACTGTTCAAATATTATCATCTCTTTCCTACTGCGGTGTGTAATCACCACTCTCTTTCGTATGTGGGGTGGAAGAGAAGATACAGGCTCTTCAGCACTTTTTTTTTGTTCTGGAAATGGAGACCTATTCCTCTGAGAAAGCTAAAGAAGGGCTCCTAGGCTTCTTGTGGCTATTCTTCTTCCAAACAGAAGCAACTCCTGTTTGATCTCATTTGACAGAGTTTGGTAACTTCTGTCCTTGTAAAAGTTCTGGGTGGACGGCTTGAACGGCTTAAACACGCAAAAGCTGAGCAGAGATGCTGCTGTTTTGCTTAATGTTTGGCCTGCTTCCATCCAAATCTTCCTGGTATCATCCTCTCCCTGCCATCCCTGCCAATGTTTTTGCACTTTTCCCCATCTTCCTTCACAAACAAATCAAACTATTTGCTCATGCTCTTGAGTGCTGATGCCTGGTAATGCTCTGTTCTGCCGTGCAGGGTTCCACAGAGAGCTGTAACACCACGACTGAAGATGAGGATCTGAAAGGTAGGTGTTTTGCCTGTAATTTCTAACACAGTTAAGTGCAGTCAGGGGATCCTGGAGATTCGATCATTGCTTTGAACTAGCTTCCCAGACTTCTGTGTCTGACTCAGTTCATAAATTCGCCATGACGCTGTCATTCCTGTCACAGTGGGACCATGCGTTGGGGAACCAGCTGACTTGGCCTCTGTGGTACATAAACACTGTTTGCCCTGAGCTAATTTGTTTTTTTCTCAGAGTTGGAATTCTTTTCTTGCAAATGTCATAATTTGTTCATCTCCAGCCCATTTTTAGGCTTGGAAAATCCCTACCAGTCCCTTGGGGTTTGGAGTCTGGTTGTGTTTTTGTGCTTCCCTGTAGGTTATAGGGATTTGAAACCTCTCTGTTACTGCTCAGTCTGCGTTTTCACCCCTTTCTGGGAATCTCTTTAGTGACATGCACACACTTCCCTCTTTATTTTTTTTCTCTTTGGGTCTACTTTTGTTTCTAAGATGAAGATCATTCTCAGCCTGTCTTCTCTGAATGGAAGTGATTTTTCATGTCCTTGACTGAGATATCGGTAGAGCAAGAGGCTGAGAAGAGATTTCACACCTTTCAGTGACCATATCGTAAATATTCTGTGCTTGTGAAACTCTTTAGATGAAGGAGCTCCAAGTCCCATATCTGCTCATGTTTGTGCAGCTGTCCTTTTCTTGACCTCCCCAAAGAAGGACGAGCAGACATTTTCCTGAATGAGCGGGTTTGGGATGGGTACATGCAGTTTGCATTCTGAGGCAAATGTGTTAGTATTTTGCATTTTGACGCAGAGGTATTCTCATTCTCCCTGTAGTCAATCTTAAGTTACATATCCAGGGAAAAATCAATGCTGACCCTGTGGTGCAGCAGCAATATCACCTCTGTCAGCTGGGCTACTTCCCGGTGCTTTTCCTGTGGCTTATCACAAGCTGCTGGCTCCTCTTCTGAGGAGTCACAGGGAGCAGAAGCACATGCCAGTAAGTGAGAGAGCTCTGCAACACAGATTGTTTCGGATAAGATCTGACCTCATTACAGGACGGTATTCTAGCTCCCACCTTTTTGCCAAAGAGTAATCCGTGGTTTAAGAACCTAGCTGTGAGGGAAGGGAACTGAATAGTTTTGGTAGTGTGGTAATGAAATTGATTTGTCTAATCTCTGCTGGATGTCCGTCCAGAACAGATATTTGTCCAGAACCTTGTCTCCTTTGGCAGCTTTTTTTCAGGAGAGGTCCCAGACTTGAGCCAGTGGAGCCAATGGGTCCTCTAAGTCAGGAATACGAATGCTGTGAGGAGAGGAAGGCTAGGACTGGAACAGAAGGTGGGGGAGAGGAGAGCAGCTGGCCAAGGCTAAATCTATGAAGAATTGTGTAGGGCTACATTGCTGCAGATCAAAACTGAGATATTTTTTTTTTTTTAATTTGGCAGAGGTTAGAAACATTTTTTATGATTTTAATAGAAGGGAGCATCTGAATGGGGGTTGGGAGGGAAGGAGCTTGCACAGTAATGGTTTGTGTTATGGCCAGCTCTGGTAGTTTTAGTGCTTCTGTTTTAAGTTCACCAGTGTTCCTTTTCAGCTCCTGCCCCTCCATGTTTTAAGCTAAGCAAGCACTCAAGCAAAACTAAATAGACCAAAAGGTTTGGGAGTGTTGGAGTTCTCGGCATTCTGAAAAGCCATGACTCTGGGAAAAGGGAAGTGCTTGTGCAATTAATTCCTCTGCCAACTTCTTACTTTCAATAGACAACAGGTTACGCAGATCTGTTCCACTGTGGTGTAGGAGACATCGTCTTGATCCATCAGTGACGGTTGCCTTGGAGTTATGTTGTTTCCACTGTAGTGGGGCTAAAGGCAGCACCCCCCTGCCCCCTTATCATTCTAAATTGTACAGCAGGTCCATGTTGTAGAGTTGTTTACTTGGCTTTGCCCTGGAGGATACTCCTGCATGTTTTGTGCCCAGCATTGTGGTTTCTTTAATGTTCTCCTATTTCCTTTCTCTTTTTTTATTTACTGAACTTGCGTGTTTTGTTTGTGTTTGTGTTTTAATTCCCTGCCATGCTAGCTCCCCCTCTCTCCACCGGGGACGGCAGCTCAGTGCTTGAAGGACGGAGGCACAGTGAGAGCAAAACACAGACTGAGTCCATGCAGTCCCAGCTTTCTCTCTGTTTCTCAGCCAGTAAGTCCAGGGGTGCAGTGCTTCACGGCATCTTTTTTCCCACCCCTCCCTCTACCTTTCCCATTTCTCCTTCCCCAAGGTTTTTCTTTTCCTCAACTTCCTTCCAGAATGTTGATTTTTCATTTCGAGTACTCCAGAACAAAAAGAAATCATCTCCCTTCCTGCAAAACACCCTCCTTTGCACACTGAAAACTTCCAATCCTTTCCTTCCCTTTTTGTAAACAAAAACCAACCAAACAAACAAAAAAAACCCCGAACCTCATCCTAGCTAATTTCATTCCCTTGCTTTCATCTGGGCGAGACATGGAGTTCTCTGCAGAGACACTGCCTTTCGGTGTCTCCTCGGTCAAGCCACTGCATCTCTTAGTTTTCCGTGTGGTAAATGGGGTCAGCAGTGCAGGTCTGCTTATGGAGGGGATGTGCGAGGCTGAATTCAGTCTCGCTTGTCAAGAGCTTCTGAGCACCCCAGATGTGGATGGTGCTTGGAAAGTACAAAAGGAACGAAAAACAGATTTTACAGACTGCTTCAAGAATGCTTTGGAAGAGAAGCTGTGGCTGCTGGAAGACCCCACAGCATTTCTGAATCTATTGTCAGGTGCTCTGAGGGAAAATCCTTGGATAATGTTGGCTCTGAGGAGCATTTCTCTGTTGTGACCTTTACCTGGGGCGTCTGTCTTGCTAGCTCAGTTAGCTGGTACCGTGGTTAGCCTGCCAGTTATGGTACTGTCTGCCTGATCTCTCCTGAACGGGCTGCTTCTGTAAGAGGAGCCTGTGGCTGAAAAACTCTGGAACCGGATATGAAAAAAGCTAGTGGGTTGGAGAAAATCTTGGTGGGATTCCCAGCCATTCCCCTACACAGACATGCGGTACTAGCTGCCTGACTATTTACAGCTATAATGGAAGGATCCTTAATGTGAGTTAGGAACATCTGGAGTATTTGATTCTGTTCAGGTCAGTCTGGGAATGAAGGAATAGGCATGCCCTCTACTGTCTCCTCCTGTCTTCCTTCCCTGTTTTCCTGCACACAGCACCAGCATCTCATACGATGCAGCAGTTGGAGCCTCTCTGTTACTTATTTTTGAAGTAGCTCTAAGGACATCAAACTGCTAGTTCGTGCGGTGCAATGGGAAAGGTGCTTTGCCCAGCCAGAACGGAAGGGAAATGATCTCTTCTGAAGTCCTTTTTTGCTGTGAGCTGTCCATCACTACATTCTTATTAACTCCTTGCTCTTGCTTATAGCAAGGTCCTGCTTGGGATGCTGAGGAGTGCCAAAACACTTCTCTGCCAAGTGAGGCAGCATCCTCCCACCCCGCTCTCCTGCAAGTTGAGATTTGCAGTGGTTTGGATGCCCTACTTTCTTTCCCTTTTCCCTCACATCTCGTACTTGCCCTCGTGCTGCTCTGTCACTACTCCGACCAGTGTTTTAGGTCACCCTCAAACTACCTCCAGCAGCATTAGTGCGATTCCACAGTGCTCTGAGGGGTCTCCTGCATCGGTGCCAGGGTGGTCCCCTCTGGGCAGCATCTGGCCTGGCTGATGCGTGACAGAGGCAGGAGAGCGGGTAGAGGTTGCTGGGATGTGGATGTCTCTGTGTGCCGACCGGGGTTGGGGCTGTGTGTGTTTGTTCTTCTTTGTCGGTTTTTATTTTGCTTTCTCGTCTTTTTGTTTGTTTATTATTTTAATGCTTACATTTGTTTTGCAGCTACACAGTCTTGTGAAGAGAAGCTTCTTGCCTGGGACAGCCCAGGGCAGACATTGGAGTTAGAGCGTGCTCGGTCGGAGCCTTTGCTAACTCCAGTAGTTCCCTTTGTACTTAACCGTGCACCGTGTAAGTTAGCAGCTGGGTAGCGGTAGTGGAGTAGTGTAACTAGTACTAGTTACCGTAGATGTAAAGCTCCCCCTCCCCCCCCC